CTGCTCCCTGACGCTCCACCACACGGAAAAGCCAAAACACGAAGCCGTCTGTGAGTACCGCCCCTACTCCTGCCCGTGCCCCGGCACCTCCTGCGACTGGGAGGGATCGCTGGAAGCCGTGATGTCCCACCTCATGCACGCCCACAAGAGCATCACCACCCTTCAGGGAGAAGACATCATTTTCCTCGCCACAGACATTAACCTGCCAGGGGCAGTGGACTGGGTGATGATGCAGTCGTGCTTCAGCCACCACTTCATGCTGGTGCTGAAGAAGCAGGAGAAGTGCGAAGGCCACCAGCAGTTTTTCGCCACCGTGCTGCTCATCGGCACCCGAAAGCAGGCGGAGAACTTTCAGTACAGGCTGGAACTGCACGGCAACTGCCACCGGCTGACCTGGGAGGCCTCCCCCTGCTCCATCCACGACGGCGTGTCCGTGGCCATCCGCAACAGCAACTGCCTCGTTTTCGACACAGCCACCGCGCACCTCTTCGCCGACAACGGGAACCTGGGCATTAACGTGACCATTTCCATGTGCTGCCCGTGACCCGAGCTGGCTGGACGACGTGGCGCTTCACCGGGGGTTTGCTTTTGGTTCCTGTTTTTAACGCTGTTCAGCTAGGTCATCGTGTGCGCTAAGGTTCCTGACTAGCCAGCAGTTGTGACTTTGGGGAGAAGAGGAACAAGAGTGTCCCGTAAGTAACATGAGTGGGACAAGGTCTTTTAAAATTCTTGGGTGCCTTAGGAAGATTACACACACACACACAGTTACCTTTTATAATTTAATTGTATTTTATGTAAAGAGTGCTTCCATTGGACATGTGGCTTAAGAAGCTCCTGTTTGGAGCGCACCTAAAAGCCCTTTAAACAGCAGTACAGATTCGCTCTCTCACTGGTGAGCTCTAATAACAGGCTGCAGTATCACAGAAGGGTTTGGGTTGGAAGAGACTTAAAGATCATCTATTCCAATCCCCTTGCCATGAGCAGGGACACCTTTCACTAGCCCAGGTTGCTCCAAGCCCTGTACAGCCTGGCTTTGGACACTTCCAGGGATGGGGCAGCCACAGCTTCTCTGGGCAACCTGTGCCAGGGCCTCCCCACCCTCACAGGGAAGAATTTCTTCCCAGTATCCCATATAACCCTTCCCTCTGGCAGTGGGAAGCCATTCTGCCTTGTCCTGTCATTCCAGGCCCTTGTCCAAAGTCCCTCTCCCGCTCTCTTGTAGCACCTATAGGCACTGGAAGGGGCTCCAGGTTCTCATGATTTGCCCTTAGTAAGGCCATGTTGGCTGTCACCAATCACCTCCTTATTTTCCATGTGCCTTAGCATAGTTTCCAGGAGGATCTGCTCCATGCTCTTGCTGGGCACCGAGGTGAGACTTACCAGCCTGTAGTTCCCTGGGTCTTCCTTACTCTCCTTTTTAAAAAAGGGGGGTTATGTTTCCCCTTTTGCACTCCATGAGAACTTCACTGGACTGCCATGACTTCTCAAATATGATGGATAGTGGCTGAGCCACTCCCTCTGCCAGTTCCCTCTGGACCCATGGGTGCATCTCGTTAGGTCCCATGGACTTGTGCCCCTTCAGGTCCCTTAGACCTTCTCAGCCCTGATCCTCTCCCACGGTGGGCGGTTCTTCCTTCTCCCACTCCCTGCCTTTGCCTCCTGTGGCTCAGGTGCCGTGGCTGGAGCACTTGCCAAGAAGGTTGAGACAAACGTCGCTGAGTATCCATCCCAGCCTTCTCCATGTCCTGGGGAACCAGGTCTCTCGTTTCCTTCTGGAGAGGGCCCACATTTTCTCTACTCTTCCTTTTATCACCGATGTACCTGTAGAGGCTTTGCTTGTTGCCCTTGATGTCCCTGGCCAGGTTTAATTCTATCAGGCTTTAGCTTTCCTAACCTGATCCCCGGCTGCTCCAACAGTCCCTCCTCCAAGGCTGCCTGTCTTTTCCTAGTAGGTGGGAAGGGAAAGAAATCCAAGCAACCTTTCAGAAGAAGCTGTGACTCAAAGCAGGAGCAGTAGGTACTTCAGCAATGTTTCTCCATTCCATTATGGAAGGGGATGGGCAGCGGGTCAGCTGCAGCGGCTTTAAAAGGAAAAAGAGGAGGAGGGGCTGGGGTACAGCCCAGCAGGTTTCAGGGAGCGAGGAAGGTACTCCTGTGTGACTCCTGTCTGGTGCAGGGGGATCTGGCCAGGTACAGGTGCGAGCAGGAGGCACAATTCTCACAGATCCCAGACAGCTGGAGCCAGTGACACAGCGACAGACTCGGGCTGTCCCCGTGCAGCTGCCCTGGGAGACACACTTGACAATACTGATTATTGTAAAAGACTCATAATATAGCAAGAGCTTTATGGCCAGTGTCACGTCATTTGCTATTTAAGTTTTGTTGCCATATTTACTTTTATTTTGCAATAAATATTTTGCAAAACCAACACTGTGGAGCTGTGCTAACACACATGTGCGTGGCAGCTTCTCTGAGGTGACTCTGTGTCCTCAGCAGGGCTGGCTCACCCCGCCGGGGTCCTTGTCCCCACCACCTCCCGCTGCCAGACAAGGCCACTGAGGCAGGAGCAGAGCAACAGGGGGGAGACACGAGTCCCAGAGACAGCAGTGACAGCCTGACCTCTGCAACTGGATCACAGGTTGTCACCACAGCTGACTCTGCCTGCAGCTCCCCCTCTGCCACCGGAATGTTCTGCCTGAATCACTGGCAACAAATCCCAGCTCCACGTACGGCTGTGCCAAATCTCAGGGGTGTGTGTGTTTGCAGGAGGCACAGTCCACTGAGGGACTGGCAGTGGGAGGCCTCACAGTAGTGGAAAACTGCAGGTAAAGTGACAGGTGAGGTTTGGTGTGAATAAGCACAATGCAGAGGGGTAACAGCGTTCCCCTAGGGAAGAGCTCTCTGGAGTTAAGCCCCGAGCTCTGCAGAGCCATCACCAGCACCAGGAAAGTGCACGAAGCTCAGTCTGGCCTTAAGAATTTAGGAGTGACCACGGGCAAAAAAAAACCCCCCTGAGGAATTACTCTCTAGGCACTGCATACCAATGATTAAAGATCCTACATCTGGTCTCACTTAACACACTGTGCTGGCACAACTCCAGCACCATCAGCCCGGCGAACTAATTGCCTCCTGCTTAAGTGGGATCAGAGGAAACAGGTGTGTGTTAACACCTGTGCTTTCAGCAGAACCCATCCTTACCTTGCGTGGGACGGGGAGGTGATGGGTGGGGGTCTTC